GTGTATAAGAGAGAGAGGGAGAGAGAGAGAGAGAGAGAGAGAGAGAGAGAGAGAGAGAGAGAGAGAGAGAGAGAGAGAGAGAGAGAAAGCTGGGGAGGATGAGTGTACTGATTGCCCTCCCCAGCTGGGCCAGCAGTAAACATTTCTCTCCGCTATACCACGCAAGAGGCACACAGTTCAACTCCACTTGAAGGGGTGGAAGAGTCTTTTCTCTCTGTCCTTCTCTCTTCCTCATTCTTCCGCATCCCCTCTTTGCGTTTGGAGTTTAAGCCCGATTTAATGGGGTGGAAACGCGAGACTCGATCAAGTTGTATTCAATTATCCCTTCTTGGATAAGTAGAGGAGTAAGGCAACTGGGTTTCTTTCACATTGATGTTACAATGCACTTTTCTTGGGCTTGGGTTTTGGTTTGTTTACTGGTCAGCTGATTTCTGGTGTTTGCGAGGCAAAAAGGGAATGTAGTTCTTCAGAATCTGGAGCTTCTCGAGCATTTTGAAGGTCGGAAAAACGGGATCAAGTTTTGGATAGTGTAATCAATAGCTCATTATCTACTTGCTTCAGACATTCGAAGCAACTTGGCTGCACCAACGCTAACAATTATACCAACGAGGATCAAATTTCCTTCACATCGGGTAAGCTGCCCAGTAGATGGACACTGCCCTATAGATGGGCGAGCTACTTTTGGATAGGAAATTACGCAAAAAAATACTGAAATGTGAATTGTTGCTTTGAATTTTCACTAACTGTTGTGATTCTTAACCCCTGAGTGACGTTTTTTTTCGATCAATTTTCTTTTCAATTGCTAAAAAACAAACGTCCATCTACTGGGCGGTTTTCTTAGGCGTCCATCTACTGGGCAGTTTACCCTACTATGGAACATTGCAACTGTTGGGTTTTGGTTTGTTTACAAGTAACCTGATTTCTGTTGTTGGCGAGGCAAAAGGGAAATGTAGTTCTTCAGAATCAGGAGCTTCTAGAAGATTTTGAACGTCGAAAAAACACGATCAAGTTTTGGATAGTGTAATCAATAGCTCATTATCTACTTGCTTCATACATTCGAAGCAACTTGGCTGCACCAACACTAACAATTATGCCAACGAGGATCAAATTTCCTTCACATACTATGGAACATTGCAACTGCAGGCGGTCAAAGGAGGTGGTGATAGAGAATAGATGATGCTGCAAGCACACAGCACTCGCCTTCGGCCAAACAGGACCCACGTGTCTCCTAACTTGGCCGGTAGTACTGCAGAACCTACAAAGTTTGCGGATTTACAGTACAACTGCTTGCCCCCCCC